AACCCAGTGCAACGAAGCTATGCCTTGGAGTGGGAAGCAGTTCAGGACGCTGAACTGTGTACCTGCAGGCCATCCCCAAAAACACCCTCAAAGCCGTTGCTGAATCCTTGGCCATTTTAACATGAATGCAGATCTCCGCTGCAGATTCACAAGCTTTGGAGCTCACAGTTCGACAGAAGTCGAGTCTCAAGTGTGTGTCAGTTCGGCAATCCCTTTGGGCGCCAACTACGTGGGAGGATGCTCTCACAAGTCTGATTTCACGATTGACTTAACCGAAGCTTTTGACTTCCTTGACTCTCAAGCGACGGGAGGAGTCTTTCAACTGATACATGAATCATCTTGCTTGATCTCAGGACATGAAAGAAGTTTTCTACGAATGATTTTACAAGTGACTAAGCTTCTGATTTGTTCTGTATGCTTGCATACAGTTCACGTGACTTTACATAATCAGCTCCAAGATTACGTGACTTAATCATGGACCCCCCAGGAGTTCGCCCAAAGAGCGCAATGCCGCTCCAGCCAAGTTGGCTTGCGACACCCTTGCCTTTGCAAACTACTTCCTCTCGTATGTCTGAGCAAAGATCAACCACAAGTAGAAACCCTCAACCTGCTGCGTCAATCAGCTTTTCAGTGGGTTCGATGTCTACGAGAGTGGAGTTCGCTGATATGCAGTCTTTCCAAGACCATGGTTACCAGATTCTTGGTCAAGCACATATGATGTCGTTGATCGCACAAGGGTATTCTCAGAATACCAATGTTAGCTCTGGACTGAGCTCGGCTCGGCCCTTACCTGCTTGGGCCATAGAACCTACTTCCCGAGCCATCGGGGATCAGCGCACTGCTGGTCAATTGGATGTCGTTCAGTCGACAACAATGATACCTCGACAGCTCCAGCCTCAGACACAATGGCCGTTTCAAATGGACCCCAGCTTACCAGCAGAGGGTTGGTGGCAAGTCAATGGCGTTTTCGTTCATCTGCCACAACAGCTTCAGACAGAGCTGGATGATTCGCTGAACAAGTCCGTAATGATGCATAGTCATGAAGTTCCGTGGAAGCAGAACCCAACCTTTTATGTCTTGAGCGAGTTTTCTGATCTTCGTCTCTATGACAGCAAAGGCCCCCTTACGATTTCGGACGATGATCATTTTGACTGGTCCAGGTTGGTTCCGATTTTCCTTCGACTCAAGAAGCTCTTGGTCTTGGCCTATGGTCGTTGCAGATCCGTTTCTGAACTGAATCTTCGAACATATGAGCTAGGAACTTCTGACAAACAGGTTCTCGATTTTGCATTGCAGTACATGAATTCTTTGCTGCACAATCCAGAAAACCTTTCGGTTCCGGCCAAACATTGGCAGACCTTGGCAGAGATAATGTTGATGGCTGACCAGATCCATGTGTTGGAAGGCATGTCGTTGACGAAGCTCCGATCAGGAGCTGTTGCTTTGGTTGCCAAGTTGAATCTTGATCATGCAGTCAGCAAGCCTGCCAGTTTCGGAAAGAGGAACACCATTTATCACATTGCTCATAACACCTCCATCGACTCTGCAGCGCACATCATCCGGTCAGGAATCTTCAGACCAAGCAAGTTCCAGACGCAAGACATTACTTGGATGCCAGGCTTTACATTTTACTGCCGTGGCCATAACTCCGAGATCACAATTGCGTGGAATCAGGCATCTCAGTACGTTTCTCCGTCGCGGCCTGTGTGTGTACTTGGTGTGGCCAGTCTTAGACAGATTGGTCATGTGAGGCCAAAGTCGGGAGGAACGCACACTGATCTGGTTGCAGGAGTGTTCTATGATGCACTGAGATCCAAAGATGGTCGCTGGGC